AGTTGCTGCAGGAAGTCGCATTTCAGGGCGGGATTCACTGCGTCGGCGACGATGCGCAGAGTGGGCCGAGGGCAGCGACGGAGAAACTGATACATCATAAATGTCTTCATCTCCGTCTTCATGGAGTCAAACGCCTCCAGCAGCGTCTGCGGGTCAACGATGACGGGCTGATCGTGTCGCCGCACCAGGGCTCGCTTGCCGTGGGATGGATGCTCGTAGGGGACCATGTCGGTTGCTTCGGATTCGGCCATCCACGTGTCCGACTCTGTCATGTCCGTCTTAAAGCTGGAGGGCGCGTTCTCGTCTGGCTCGGCAGAATGCAGCTGGGCAGCCGCCAGGGTTGGAGATAATCTCGGACTAGGAAGACTGGCATCCTGGGCAGCAACAACATCGATGGCGGGTCGATGCTGGGTGCGGACCGAGGGTTCCAGAGATTCATCGGTATCGTCAGCGAAGGATTCCGGGTCGGCATCGGTAACCGGCGGCGTGGCCACGGTGCTGCTGAACGTATGTGCATCGCTCCCGGCGGGGCTCGACGCCTCGTACGGAGGAGACTTGGAACGCCCGCGAAGCAAGCCCTGCGCGTTGGGCGAGTATTCGCGGTGCAGGGGGCGTCTTTGCAACGACCGGCCCGGGATCGGCTCGACCATATCGGTAACGTCGGGCGTGGCGAGTACGCCAATAGAGGCGTTTCTAGCTGTTCTCTCGCCGGTATCGAGACGCAGCGTGCCAGTGCTGCTCTCACCGACGTTGCTGCTGCTGCCAACGGCACTGTTTCCCTGGACGAGAGAGCGACGCAGCCTGTTATTTACGGCTTGCAGATTCGAGGAGCGGGCAAGACGTTGAGAGGATCTTGTGGCAGCCGCGCTAGGGGACTCTGCCGCGGCTATTCGGTGGCTCCGGCGAGAGAAGGGCTCGGGCGAGGAGGCAGACGGTATGCGGCTCAAGGGCTCCGGGGTCTGCACCTGACTCGACGGAGGTTCCTGCTTGATCACGGCTGGAGTGGAGGCTTGACCTCTCCTGACCTGCATCATCCATAAACACGGTCGTGGTCAGCAAAACAGGGCGAAAAGAAAACAAGATGGAAACCAAAAAGAATTCCATGACGACCGTGAAGCCGAGTCTCCACTTACCAGTTGGCCGTCAAGGCCCTCATCAGCATCCTCCAGCCTTGCAGCGTCATCATCGTCCTCGTCGGCGCCATAACTGTAGGAAAAGTCGGCCAGCTCAGGCGGCGTGGGCTTCATGGCCAAGGGATACTCCTTGGTGTCGAGGCTCTCGAGAGGGGCGGGGTCGCGGATGAAGACCTGGGGGAACTTCCTGGTCAGGCGGGTGGTTGTGGTGACGGTCTTGGTCTCGACGCACTCGCTGACGTGCAGCTGGAAGCGGCGGGCGGGCGGCGTGCCGGAGGTGGTGCTCTCGGCGATGTTGACCGACACGGTCTGCGTGTGGGCGCTCCTCGGCCGCCGTGGCTCAAGGCCCTGGCTCTGGGATGGCGAGGGCGTCATGGCGTGGTGTCGGGAAACCGCCCGGCGGCTGGACTCCAGGCCAGAGTCTGAGGCTCGCGAGACGCTGGGGGACGTTGTGATGTCGAGGCTGTCGATGGTGTTTCTGCTCGGGGTCGAAGGGCAGAGATGGAGATGAGGAAGATTCGGGGGTGCTGGTGCTGGTGGCTGGCGGGAAACAAGAGCAGTGCGAGCCTGTCTGGGCGAGGGAACCTGAAGGGTTTTGCAGGCTGGGGGACACGAGGCTGGTGCGCGTGGCTTCGGGTCTTGTTCTGTGTCTGCGTCTGTTGGTGCAGGTTTTCGGGCCCTGCGCGTGAGGGGACAGCGATGACAAACCACGCAAAATGCACAAAGAGAGTGAAGAACAGACAGCTGAACACGCAGGTATGGAGGATGTCGAAGGGGCGAGCAGGACACGCTCGAGAGGATTTGCTTTTTTTCTCGTCCTCTGCCTTGCTTTTTCGTTGTCTGGGCGGAACAAAGGGCGAGAGGCGGCGTGTCCGGCCGTGAGAAACTCGGCACTGTCCAGATCCCCTTTTGTGGCGGGCGGTACGAATGGCAAGTCGAGTCGGAGCGGCAATAGCGCCTGGGCTGTCGCTGGTGCAGGGCTGGCTTAGCTAAGGCGCCCGAGGTACCTGGAACGCTGGCGGCGGCAGGAGGAATAGCGCCCGGGCTGTGCTGAGCAGCGCTACGGGAGGCTCTGGAGCAGCACAGAGACTGCCCGAGTGCAGCTGAGGTCGGCACGAAAACACAGTGCAGCTGGCTGCTTAGCGGCGTGATACTGGGTTGATCCGTTGGGTATAGGTACAGGCGCGGGTACCGCTACGTGCAGGCAACGGCGCCTTTGAGGCCTTGTGGACGTTGAATCGCCACCACCAGGAGGTCCTTGATACCCGACAGTACTTGTACAGGGACCTGCGGGAAACGGCTGCCTTGGCCGCGCCTAAGCCGCTAGCCTGGCGCTGCACTTGTATCTCTTGCGCTCTGCAAGGCGTGCAAGGTACTTGCAGCGGTGATGCTAGGGCATCGCCGAAACGCCTCCAGGCTCACTGCATGACAACTTGAGAATTGGATGTCATCCACTCCAGCCTCGGCCATCGAACAACCAAAGGTCGCGAAGTCCCAGGCGAACGGCTAACCGGACGCGATTATGCTAGAAACCGCGTCGAGATCAGGATGACTAAGGCAACCAAAGTACTTATTTGCAGGTTTTTCTTTCCATCACATCACGGCAAGAAACCGGTCGGACGTATCTTTTAGCTGCCGTGCGGGAGGCGCTTTTCCATCAAGCCGGGCAAGGCGGGAGAACCGCGCAAAACAGGCTTCAGGATCACATTGATCTCTCCACTGCCAATCTTGGCCGGCACTGTGCTGACCTGCAATTCCATCGATTCCACTGAGCACTCGTACTAATGCACCAAGGTCAAGTCGGTGTCAATCAAGGCAGACATCGGCTTGTGATGGACGTGTCTGCACGGGATACAAAGGGGTTCAACTGAGCCTGGAATTGTGCCCAATCAGCCAAAACAGCCAGATGCATGCACTTTTACCGGCTCTCATCAACCTCGCATCAAATCTCATCTCACACCTCGCCATCGCGAGACTGGGGGCAAGGAAAAGAACCACTTTCCCCGTCTCTCCCCATATCGGTCCCCTCACAGTGGACCCCATGCCCATCAACCCTGTTTCTCCCTCTCTTCCAACCTGCAGTAATATCCCGTCCAAGACCCAAAGCAGGGCATCAGACTCACTCCCCGTCCATCACTCACATCACCAACACCCAGCGGCAAGCCGTCCATCAATGTCTTCGCCCCCGGTCAAGTTCCTTTCTCTCACGATCCATAAGGCAGGGAAACGAAACCGACTCGGAAGAATTTGCCCAAATTCGTCATGCTCATGTTAACTTGCATTCGCCTTTCCAATTTTTTTCTTTGCTACTGCGCGTAATCACCTGGTGCCGGCCATTTCCCCTCTTCAGACTTGCCGACTCTGATGCGCGACATCTGCATGACCGGCGTTATCAAACGGCGTGAGCGGTGGGTTGTGATAGATGCATGCCAGCAAAGAGCTCACCTTGCTCATTCTCTAAATCAATACCTCCGTTCATTCATCTACTCTCAATGATAAACTAATATATGAGTCCACCAAAGATTCAACCTACCAATGAGTTTATCTCGTTCTCGAGCCAATGCAGGAATACAGGGTATCAGCACCACATACTGCGCACATCCGCTGAAGACCTACATCGGCTGCCTCGTACATACATATGCAGCTACTAACATGGGCGAACAAGGCATGCCCTGATCAAGCACCATTATTAATAACGTGCGTCTTTGGGTTCTGACTGCAGCCCAGCCTGTGTTTGCCCAGCGGCAACCTGCTTTGCTCCTTGTCTCTCTCCCTGGCCTTGTCCGCGAGAGATGCCAATTGCGGCTTGTGATGCCTCTCTACCATCTTTCTTGCGACAGTCATGAGAGTTCAGCCTGTATGCCATGGGATTCTGTAGGGGTAGTACGTGAGAAGCCGGAGGATGATGTGAATGGCAGCACGGCATCTCATGTCAGCCTAGAACACCAGCCGTAGACCTTGTACGACCATGACTACAGATTCCAAATCTCACTCGTCCTCTCACCCTCACCATCCGTATGCACTCCGTTATCAGCTCGGCTCACCTATCCTAGACCGTGAAAAAAGAGATGACACCTCATTTCCAATCCAGCCGCAATTATTCGCTACAATCCATACGATACCTCCTCCATGTCTCGTCATCAAATCGCCTCACCCAACCCCATCATCCAACGAAACATCAAGTGACTTCCAGACAACTCAGGCCCTTCTCCGCAAGCCACACGTCCGCAAAGGTAAACTTCGTGCCCTGTCATAATTCCCTTTCTTTCCCTTCACAATGGACGCCACTTCATATCAGGCTGCCAACGCATAGTGCGCCCGCTCTTCAACCCCTTAAAAAACGGACCGCAACACATGCAATCCATCTACCCAAGTCAGAACACGCCATTTTGCTTGTTCGTAGATCGATTGGACTACAGTCAGCCTATCTGATGCAAGCGTAGAACTTTGAAGTCGGGAGTGCAAAAGAGACTGCCTGCTCCGGGTTACCGAGATCTCCGCACAGCTGGGCCCGGAAGCCCAAGGTTGAAACACCATGGCGCCGTCTCGGAAGGGAATGGTTTCGCTCATTCATCATATATCGACACGTTCATCATACATCATTGAGATACCGACAAGCCCTTCAAAAGCCATAACACAATCCTCCGCACAGTCGCCATCTGAATTCGAGAGAGATGCCTCGCGATGCACTGCCAATTCGTCTACCCAACAATCACATATCCCGTTGATGAAACCAAAACTCCATTTACACGTGTCTATAAGGCCCAATCCTAATGCTATGCATGCAGTCGTTGGATAGCAACCATATTTTTCGCTCATAAAATGCAACAAAATGCAACAGAATGCTCCAAAAAGGGCGCCGTTTACTCATGAGATGTACACCGGCATTCGACTGCCCAGAAGCTCGCTCTTGGGGAGTTGGACATCCTTCTTGTTAAAGTTGTGCAGCATCAGCCAACAGACCATGCGGAAGACGAGCGTGCACCAAACATCATTGTGCGTGACGTCCAGGTCGGCAAGCGACACGCCGCTGTGGGTTTCTTCTGAGTCGGTGTTGTTTTGCACAGGAATGGAGAGCTCCAGCCGACCCTCATGATGATGTATTGTGACCTCTTTCGTCGTATGCTCTGCACTCTTTGTACCGGACTCAGTTGCGGCATGCGGGGGAAGAAGAGACGTGTTGGAGCGGATGCTTCCAGCGAGAGTGCGTCCCAGCTCCGGGCCAACGACACTGTTTCTTCGAAAGGCCGAGTTCTGGGCAGTTGACACCACATGGGGCCGAATGACGTTGAAATACACGTCCATCAAGATGTCTTGCCGGTCGTCGGGTCCGGCAGCGTCCATGTCCTCAAACCGTGGTGCAGGTGGCCGTGGACGGTTTGGCGAAGGAGGCGGCATATCTTGGCGAACAGACAGGGTGTCCGAAGTCTGATCTTCTTGCTGGTTGAGCAATCTGATTAGATCCTGGATGTGGTGTCTCACGACATCCTGGACAATCTCTCGGCGACGCATGTGCTTGTCCGCGCTTGACGCTGCGTCGTATGTCTTCTCCGAGGCATCTTCTGCATCCTGGTTGCTCTGCCTTTCCGACTTGGTCCTTGATGTGAGGACATCGTCCGTGTCATCCAAGGCTGCATGGAGCGATCTCAACAGCAGCCATCTGTCCAGGCTTCTCTCGTCATCAAGGTGCTTCCGTATACACTCAATGTGATGCCTGTAGCGAGCAATGACGAGGGAGTCTTGCCCCGGCCCCATGGTGCCGGGTTGCGTCTTTGCGTAAAAGGCGTCCAGTAGCTTGGGTAGGGAAACTGATCTTCTATCCCAGCTGTCCGGTGTCGGGTTGGGGAGGAATGTGAAGCTGCTGTTTTCGATATGGAATATTCGGCTCAACATGCCGAGAATTTCGAATGATACTGCCAAGAGGTGTCAGCATTCGGAACCATCATTGCGATAATTTAGATAGGGAGAAGAAAATTAGAGAAGGATGGTAACATACTAGGGAATAGGTGAGACATTCGCGTTCCGCCCTCCAAGCATAACCGAGTTGTAACATTGTTGCAGCCCATCGAGGTCAAGGTCTCTGAGATCTCGCGCAAGCTGCCCATGACGAGGGTGCTGAGGTTTTGCTGCTCCTCGATTGTCTTCAAACGTCGCTTATCTTCCTTCTCGCGGTAAATGGTGGGCACATGGCCAAAGCATAGCTCCTTGATCTCGTCAACCGGGATGACGCGATTCCGCTTAAAGGAGCACTGGCCATTGACTTGGAACGAGAACATGAGTCCGGGGTCGCTGATCCTCTCGCCCAGGATCATGAAGCCGTTGCCCTCTCCCCAGTAGCGATCACGCTTGCGGTCAAATTCCTTCCAGTACACCCCAATTGCACCCATCATCTCGATCAGATGGCACATGGTCGTTGTGGCGTAGGGCTTGGTGACGTTGATGGGCATGGTGTCCCAGCTCTTGCGCTTCCGCTGAACAGCCACGGCCAGAGTATGATGTTCTTTCAGTGTCGGAGGCTCTGCGGGAATGGCGTGCAGGTCTGGTGGCCCAAAAGCTTTGTATTCTTCCTGCTGCCATTCTCGCGATTCGGCCTCCATGCGTTGAGCGGCAAAGAGCAGCACGTACCAGGCAGCCTTTTCATTGTCCGAAGTGTGAATCTTTTCCTTTGCAGACTTTTCCTTGTATTCTTTGCGCTCATCCAATGTGGCAGTCGAGTGCGTAACTCGCTGGGACTCTGGGGTGCCGTCCAGGTAGTAGATGGGAGCGTCTGCCACGGGCCCATTCTGGTTCTTGGGCGGCGACACGAAGATGACGGGCACATCGAATTGGACTTCAAACCGTAGCTCATCGAACCGGAATTGTCTGGTCTTGGTCAATGCCCAGTCGCCCATGACCTTTTCGTTGCATTGCGAATAACCTTGGGCCGACGCATAGTATTGCTGCAGCACTTGCATAAACGTCGCCAGCAACGCCACGACCGAGACGACTAACGCTACGGCGGCGACGACGAAGTCGGAATTGCTATTGCCATTGTTGCCATTACCACCACCGCCGCTGCTGGTGCTGTTCATCGTGGACTGTGGCCAACCCGGCTCGGGCTTGTGAGCGTACTAGGAGGCGACGGCTGCGATCGATGGAGAAGATTCGTGCCTGGGACGAAGCCTGCAGGGCACAAGCGGCGATATAGCATTGACAAGGCGTTTTCATGGGCAGAAGTGGATGAGCAGCACAATCCATGATCCGCCTGCTGTCTCTGCCTTTACCTCTCCTTCAGCTCCAGTTGTTGCCCAAGGCTCGATTGAGGCTCCGCGTCTGGCTGCCTTTGCTGTCAGAAACCGTGGCCGTCAGCCCAAGAGACGAGGCGCGCGGGACGGTGCGGCGCGACCAGGCCGGCGCCATTGGCCCAGCCCCCCGAAAGCCACCTCTGCTTGTGCCTCTATCCATGGGCCAATTAGTGTATGAGAGTGTCCGAATGGGCAGAGGCGCTGGCCAGACCAGGGGTTGAAGCGACCCGCATCGTGGCGATGGCAGCTGTATGAAGTGGACAATTCAGCAGCGGATCGCTGCAAGACACTCGATGAGCGCCAGAAGAGGTAAGGGCAGCAGTGAGGTGAGGCGGGAGTGGTTTCCGAGACAAGCTGAGAACAAGGGATATTTGATTTGTGACGAATGTGGATGCATGTGACCTCAACTGTCCGTTTGATGCCAGAAGTTGAGCCCAACAAGAAGCGTCGGGTGTTGGCGGCAGAATCGATTTTAGCGCCCGTCGCCGATGTCCTGGGAAAGGCGGAGTGCTGGCGCTTTGGGCAGCAGCGCTGTGCTCTTCGCTAAAGCCCTATAACTTTTCGCTGGGGCCGCTATCAGAATGATCATGGGCGTGCACCTCCATATATCATCAATCCAAACCCCATGAAACGAACTTTCCTGAGACATCAGTCCAACGACATCAGTCCAACGACGCCAATCCAACGGCACATCACAGGATCTACTGCAAGGATGAAGCACGCCCTGAGTCTCCAAGTGCCCGATAATGCTTACAACCGTGCTGGGTCGCGTGTGCACAGCCGTCTTCAACCAGCTCAACCTGACCGACGGCGAATAGCCTCGTTTCGCCTTATTGATGTCTCCTGCAAGCGCCGCCACAGCGCCAACGTGTCCATCCTCGTCTCGACACAATAGACCAGACCCTACTAGTCGAGGTGCTACAGAGTTATTCGGTCTTCTTATGCTCGCCCCAGTGTCCGCAGAGGCCCTTGCTTGGACAACAGATTTTGCCCTAAGTAATGTTTGCGAGCTTTACGTCTATCAAAAGTCATATTCCAACCCGACTTGATATGCTCTCTGTCAATTGTGCATCTGATTCGAAGCTGATTCTCCCATTCGCTGGATCAAGTCTCGGATTCTAGATTCCATTTGGAGGAGTTCGACTCGTCTTACGGATGAAGCATGATCCCTTGATACCTTATGGAAGCCTACCAACATGAGCCACTATGCTCTTACTGCCTTGTCATAACGGCAATAGAGACCTTTGACTTTTCTTACATACATCTTGCGTTCATCCCCTCTTTCGACCGTATGCCTCCTGCTTGTCACCACGCCGAAGGGGCTGCAGATCTGGGTTCGAGTGGCTGGACTCTTCTCTTGCAAAAATAGGGAAGGCATCTCACCAGTAAAGCTAGTGGCTGGATCATCTGTCAACCGGTTGACGATATTGTAGAGAGATTAATGGTAAGACGCGCCTCTTGACAGGCAGATTGCGGGCCATGGGCCTCAAAGCCCCTTTACAGCATTGAAGAGCATGGCTTGCGATGCAACTCTTGCCTTATAAGATTTGGGCCATTGGGGTTTATCGAGAATACGCACAGGCCATAGACGTAAATGCTTTGAAGCTCATACATATGCTGCTGAAAGTCATTATCTAGATATGTAGTTGTAGGTACATGTAGTGTGATCATCTGGCTTGCCATTTACATATGTCATGCGCCACGATACAACTCTTCCCTTGAGGTCACATATATGTATGTTGGTCCCCGTTTTCCTTACGTTAAATATAAGATCACTATTGATGTTGTAAGTCTATCCCGCCATTACATCTTGTATTTGATCCCAGCCAGCGCCTCTCTATTCGCAGTATTCTTCTCCGAACTCACAATCATAGCAACGTGATGACTCAAAGCAACCAAATCGCCCGCCCGATCAAGCACAATCACCTCGACATCATACCTCCCATTGAGCACCTGCTTAGACGATGTCCGGACAAACAACCACGGCTCGCCCGCTTCAGGCAACGCCTTCTTCACATCTAGGTTCATCGCCAGCGTGGGATACCACAAGCCCGTCTTGCGCGTGAGGGCACCTCCCGCCGCCGGAGGATCGTCTTTTGTCCGAGGGCGATGCATTTCCGTGACGAAAGCCGCCGTGCTATCCACCACGAATCCCAGAGCCGGAGCAGTAAAGGGCTCGCCGTTGGAGTTGCACATCCATAGATCAAACGAAGAGGCAGTCCCCGATTTGGCAAAAGCTTCGCGGTTGTAAAAGAAGCGAAGTTGTTGCATGGCGGTCACTCTCCGTTGAATCAGCATATCGAGGGCTCCCCATTCAGGATCTTGGTTCGTGAGGAGTTTTGAAAAGTCTGTTGGCGGACGTAGACTGGGTTGAAGAGACCACCCCGTGGAAAAACTAATGCCCTTTTCTGCGGCGATGCTCCTGTTTGTGAGGTATGCGACAACTACTTTCTCCGACTTCTGCTTGCCTTGTCCTGTTGAGATCCATGGGGCTTGAGGGAGGAGATTGCCCTGGTAGAGAGTAACGTGCAGAACGGTGATAGAGCGGCCTGGTTTGGCCTCTTCGACGGTGAGGACAGCTGGGCCGGAGATTGTGCGATTGAGGAATTCCCAGTGAGCGCTGATTGTGTCTGGTTGGTCCCTGGGGGTGAGATATTCTCTTGCTACACGGAGGAAGATTGTGGCGACGTAGCCTCCGTTGGGGACTTGTCGGTGTTAGCCTTGATCAAGGGATAGATAGCGTGATATCGGAGGTGGATGGAGCTATTATAGGGACTGGGGATTGATGAATGGTTTCAGTCTCTTGGGGAGCACATACCTGCGCCGATGCAGAAGCTGGGTGAGAGATTGGCGGCAAAGGTCTTGTCATCGAGTCTTGTGACGATGCTCTCTTGCTCCAGCGAGGCGGGAATCTTTGCTTCAGCGGCCATGGTGACGACTAGGGCCTGTCTTTGATCTGAAACGAAGTAACAATCAGGATTGAACAGGGCTGTACGAAAGAGAGAGTGTGTGGTATCGAGGTTGAATGAGAGTGGAAGAAGATGGTTTCACATCAGGTTACACCTCGTCATGATTGTCATGCCGCTGAAAGCATCCCTTTTTCTGGAAATGCACTACAAAGAGCCGGATAGTAATCAAAAACAGGCCCCAAAGCCGAAACAAATCACGACAAACTTGCCCTCTCTCCTCTACGTCTTCCCCATGTCAATCGCCGGTTCGTTTGCCGAACCGAGGCACAACCCCACCGCCCCCGGTCGTTGGTTGACGATGCTGCTCGTCTGCCAAGTTTGCTTCTAGCAGGTCCCTTTTGTTTACTAAACCAGCGGCTGGTGGAACTTGGTCGTTTTAGAACAGAGATTGACTGCTGACGGGCGCGTTTTAGTGGCTGCGAGATGCTGCTAACTGGGGTATATAGCGCTGGTTGTACGGCTAGGATGGGGGGTTTAGATGATTTTGATGGCCGTCGATTTGCGGGGAATCGATGAAGAGTTGGGAACTCGCTGTTTATACATAATGAGCATTGAATACACATTGTCTGCTCTGTAAACTATACTAGTATACGAAATGCGCTTTTGATAATCGAATGCCTTGAAGAACCCAGAGTCGCTTCGCTTCAAAGGAGACGAAAGTCTTCTAAAACACACACAACTCTATCTTCTATGCCTGTACTCTCTCCGTTTTCCGCACCTCCTCGTCCACCGGCGCAAACTTGGACATCTTCCTCAGCTGAACACCATACTTCATGAACAGAAACGGCACGGGAATGGCAATCACCGCAACACCCCCCATCAGCGACATGGCCGGCCCAACGCCCAAGGTATTGAACATGGGCGCCGCCGCGAGGGGAAACGACGCGGCTAGGGCGCTCCTCAGGAACGTGTTGGCGGATGTGGCGCTTGCGGCGTAGACGCGGTATGTGTCGACGAGGAAGTTGATGCATTGCTGGAAGATGATGTTGAAGCCGGCGCCGATGAAGACGGCTGCCAGAACGGGCACAATCCCTGATGAAACCGTTAGCAAACCTGTCTATGCCCTCGACTGGGATACGTCCAACTCACAGTGAATCTTGGGGTCTGCCGTCCAACCGAACCAGAACAGCCCAATGGCAAAGACAACCCCCCCTACCGCCATCGGCGCACACCGAGCCTCTGGCACCGGTTTGCCTCCCGCAGCATCCACGAGCCTCGCATAACGCGGCTGGTTCGCTAAGTTGACAAACATGGCCATGCAAACGCCCACCAGTAGCGCCAGAAACGGCAGCGAGCTCTGCACCAGCGACCATCCCCGGTGCTGAGCAAAGACAATGGGGAACACCTCCAGAGTCATGTACAGCAGGGCGTACACAAACGACGCATACAGCGCGATGCACGTAACCATCGGCTCGGTGAACAACATGCGGAGAGGGCGCGAGAGGTGCTTGGTGAGGATGAGCTTGGGCGACAGCTTGGTCTGTTCGTGGGGGTGGTAGTAGGCCTGGTTGCCCGTCTCTTTGCGGAGACGCTGGGCTTTACGCTTCAGCAGAACGGGGCCGTATGTCTCTGGCAGGCAGAAGAGAGCGATGGCGGCGACGGTAAAGGTCCAGATGGCTTGGATGTATTCCGTCCAGCGCCATCCAAGGTGAGGGTTCACCACCAGAGAAGCACCGATGACGGGACCCTGGAACTTGGTCAGCCGGCAACTCATGCAAGAGGATCATTGATAGCTGTAGGATCATCACATACCAGAGTAGGACCACCGACGACACAAAGGGCGTAAAACACCACTGCCGTCCCGCGGACCTTGGGCTCCCAGATGTCGCCCATGATGGCTCCCACGTTGCTCACCGGCGACGAAGCGAACAGGCCGCCAAAATACCGCGTGATGAGGACGGACTGGATATTCTTGCTCGTGGCTGTGCCTATTGAGAACAGTCCGACGGCAAGCATGGGGGGAAGCAGAGACATGCGGCGGCCCCAGAGCTCAGAGATGGGGGCCCAGCAAAGGGGGCCAAATGCGAATCCCAGGCTGTTGTTGTTGATGTCAAAATCAGGCAAGTTCATCTGAGTTGGGCTGTGATGATGATGATGATGTTGTGATTTGACTTACATGTAAAGTGAGATGCACAGCACCGAAACCTCATGGCCGATATGGAAGACCTCCTGCAGCTTCTCGTCGGTGGGAGCCATGATGCTCGATCCGACACTGGCCGCCATGGCTAACATGCCCAGCAGCAGCGTGATGAACGCCTTGTACAGCGTCCGCCAGTTGTACGGGTTGGCGGGCTCATTTTCATCCCACTTGACCAGGATCGGGGTTGGCGATATCGAATTTGTTTCGTCTCCTGGTGGCGTGTCCCCTTCACGCGAGGAGGCACCCATGGGTGATTTGGCGAGGTCTTGTATCGAAGGCGAGATCGATAAGAGACAGGCTATTGAGATGAGAGGAGTTATGAGAGGCCGGCTTCGAAATTGGGCGAGAGCTTAGCTACAGAGCTTAGCATGAACGGATGAAAGAAACGGTCAAGAGGCTAGACAAGAGGTGTGGTAAGCTTCAGCCAAGAGGGACCAGGCCGCTGATCGAGAACATGCACAACCGCATAAAGGCTGTGTCAGATCAAGATCAATCCTAGGACTTTTGCCCTAACACAACTGAATGAAACAGTTTGTCTTCACCCGCAGTTGCCAAGAGATGGGGAAACGGTCCAGAATATCAGTTTCTCTTCTATTTTCTTCGAAATGTCAGATTCGGCGGACGAAATAGCCGGCCGCCGGAAACGATCTCCGATGCAATAATCCCGGGAGGGCATCGTGGTTTGACGGCACTTGCTGATCCGAGATATCCGCAATAGCCGCTGGATATTAGTAAACGCAAGGCATCACGAAATTTTGTATTGAAGATGGCACTTCAACAACAGCTGGTATTGAATAATTGAAAACAGATTTACAGATACGGACAGTTGATATCTCGTGCCCTGCGCGCCTGGATGCACTTGGAGTCAAAAGACGCTTCAAAGAGTCTCTTGATTTAGTTGTTCGACCACAGGCTGTGGATCTGGGCATATGTGTGTTGGAGACACGATGAGAAGAGCAAAGGACTTGCATATAACGACTTGATATGGTAAAAGTACCATAAAGCTCATCGCGTCTGGTTCTTACTTGAGACACAACCGCTACTCATGAAAGCGCAGCTCCGATGCTTCGGAGCGGTTCGTATATCGAGACCAGTAGTGCTTCTCATATGCAGGGACTGTTGGCTCGCTAGACAAGTTGATAACCGAATACCTAGATCAGTCATTTCTATGCCAGGATCTCATATGCTCTATCAAGATCTCGGTGTTACGACGATGTCCCGAGGAGAGACACACCCCCTGGTGCTGTAGATCATCAATTTTTCTCCGAATGAGTCAAACCTTACCCAAAGTAAAGGCATCCTTCCTCCGATAAAATGACCTATCAATTCGATGGCGCCGAATATTCTATATCTATCTTCCTTCATGACTGTTCTTGCATTTGCAAAAGAAGCAAAGCAAGGCGGCTATTGCGGATATTGCGGGTAGCAACGCCGCCCAGCCGGAAGAGTCTGCCGGGGAAGGGCCATAAACGCCCCGTGAAGGAGCCGCCGTCTGTGCCGCGTCCCGAAGCCGTCGGTGTGCCGATGTGGGCTCTACCCCATCTCATAAGTTGTTGAAGATGCTGTTTCATTCATTTGGAGGATTGGTCCTAGTATGATAGAGGCACGTTATTGAGAAACATGACTGTTTCGGAACCCATAACACCCGTCTGTGGCCCAGTTGAACATCCAACCTCGAGAGGTTGATCAATAACTCAGCGGTTGGGTGTATAGCGATTGAAGTCATGCACTGGGAATTCTTAAAAAACATTCAATACTGAGCTCGGAGTATATTGACCATCATGAAATAGTCATCTTCTTTTGCAAGTAACCTCTCCTTCTCTAACAAACCTCCCTCACACTCAACTCTCAACTGGCCTTCATACACTGCATCCTCCTCACTCAAACGTCACCCGAATCACCTGTATATGGTTATTATTCGTAAACGCAATCGTCAACGTCCTCCCCGTCTCATCCAGATACGGATACGCAACGCCCGCGTACACGAACCCCCCGTTAATCGGCTCAGCCTCGTAAATCTCGCGATCCTCGCTCCACGGACCCTCCACCTTGTCTGCCGTTCTCAACGCCACCTTGGGTCCATCTAGAATTCTCAGTCAGTTCGGCCTCATCGCAAAACTCCAGTGTCATATACGAACAAAGAAAGCAAGGGGGAGGGACTCACTCAGATGAACGTAGATGTAGCACTTGAACCACTCACTAAACACAACCTGCCCCTGGCCAACCCCCCACATCACCGCACTCTCAGCATCATGCTCCGCTCCCCGCAGGACCTCCCTCCGCCATCCCTTCTTCCTCCCCCACCAGTACTCGTACTTGTCCAGCTCAAACGCCTCCTTCGCCTTCACCCGCGCCTGGTACACGTACTCCGTCGCCGGCCACTCCGTCACCGTCTTGGGCGGGTGGCCCCAGACGTAGATGTACTCGCTCTTGACGTCCCGGTAGGCGGCAATATCGCCGTACTTGGCCATCGATGAGCAATCCCACCACCAGCCGTGCTCGCCGAGGCGTTGCGTGACGGTGGGCGCGTCGTTGATGATTTCGACGCGGGCGATGCCTGCGTGGCGGTAGTTTTCATTGTCATTCTACCACAAACTTCGTCAGCTGTCTATATCACCATCACCATCATCGTAGAAGGAAAAAAAAACTCACAATCAAGTAATACACCGCTCCAACCCCCGTCTCCCCATCAACCTCAACCAAACTCGTTCCCCCAAACCCCGTCTGCAGCTTCTCTCCCCAGCGCTCCTCAAACGGCGTAAACTGCGCCGGATGCGCCACCGGCTCGTCCCCGTTCAAATGGCAGTCCCTCACCACCAGCGGATCCTCCGTCAGCGCCGCCACCGAGTTGCGCACCATGCCGTGGAACCCGTCCGGATCCGGGTCCGCGTTTGGGTCCGTCACGCCGGGGCTGCTCCAGAGCGTGTCGCCGTAGACGCCGTACCATTTGCCGCCGATGTGGCCCGCGAAGCCGAGGTCCCGCCGGTGGGCGCTGTTGAGCGAGCGCTGCTCGCCGAGGTATTCGACGGAGAAGCGGGTGATGGGGTTTGTGCCTGCGGGCTGGGTGTTGTCGATGCCTGACCAGCGATGCGCTGGGGTTTGGGCTTGGGCTCGAGATGGGACTGAATCGTCATTCTTCGTCCCAGTGAGGTTGTGTAGCAGTTTCTTGAAACCGTCCATGATGATGGAAAGCTGCAGTATGGCTGTTGAAGTAAGGTCAATACAAGAGGGAGTCGATAGAATGGCCTAAGCAAAAGCAGCTTCTAAAACGTAAACTGCAGATACCTGGGTTGTAAGGAGTATAAATGAACAATTAGACAAGGCTCAATCAAAGGGCTTCAAAGAGATGCGTAAGATGGACATTAAACTCACAATTCCTTCCCCACACTGCCGACGTCATTAGTGATCCGATCCAGGAACCGAAATCCCATCAATCGGCTGGCATGTGAAGTGGCGGCACGGCTTAATCTGTCCCCAACAGGGGAGCATCCGGAGAGCTTAGCGCTCCAAGTGGCATGTAGACAGTCGAGACGTTCATCTCTAATAACGGACATTGACTCGTATCAATGTTCAGAAAAGTCTATTTTTGGGTATCTAACCAAGGCACTGCTATGCTCCAACCAAAGATCTATCTAGTAATGGCAAGGGGATGAAGCTATGAGGAAAAACAATAGCGGCGTCAATGAACAAAACAAATCCGTCTATGAAACACCCGTCCCGAACCTCGCAAACCATCCAGCGAACAAACCAAAGAAAAGAAGAATCAAAGCCGCACAAACACCTTGCCGAAAATCTCCCTGGCCTTGACCAAGTTGATGAGGCTCATCCGCTCATTGTCCAAGTGTGCCGCGTCACTCGCCCGTCCGCAGGGCAGATGAGCCGCTGGCGCTCCGAATTCCTTCTCGAGGAAGCGGATGGCCGGGATGGAGCCGCCTTCGCGGATGTAGAGCGGCTTCTTTGGCTTGCCTGTGCACACAGATGATCCTTCACTCGGCGATTTCTTGCCACTGTCTCCATCCGAGCTCGAGTCCTGGGCGGCGGTAGAGCCCGCATCGAAGCGTTCGGGCCAGGCCTCCACAACGGCAGTGCACAAGGTGCGGAAAATGTAGTTTGTCGGGTCACCCAGCCACGGCTCGGCTTTGTTGTCGATGCGAATCTTCAGCTTGTTCTCCGAGTTGAGGCTCTCAAACTCTCGTTGCAGGAAGAGAGTCAGCGCCATCCCCACCACGTTCACCTCCTGTCCTGGCACCAGGCGCATGCTGATGTGCGCACTGGCGTGGCTGCTCACCAGGCTTCCATCAGGTCCCGACACGTTGTACCGGTGAATTGTCAGGTTTGGCTCACGCCATCTCGCCAGAAGTGACTTCTTGATCTCTGCCTCGGAGGCAGCCTCTGGGCTGCGGCGCACCAGGATGGACGCGATATCGTCGTAGCGAGCCTCTTCCTCTGGCGTCACCGGAGGGATACCGTCGTAGAAGCCTGGAATCATGACTCGGTTGCCACGGCCCTTGAGCCTGGACAGCACCGTTGTGAGGTCTGAAAGGGGCTCGTCGTTGACGTATGAACCGTCCACACCAGAGTGCGTATCAGGGCGCGACGAATCAACGCAGACGGTGGCGTGCAGGACGCCACGTAGCCCATAGGTCAGGCACGGAACCTCGTCGTCCAACCAGTAGCTGTTGGCAAGCAGGATATAGTCCACGGAGCCAATTCGTTCCTTGTTTCTCTGGACTGCCTGCTCGAAGCCCCTGGATCCAGACTCTTCCTCTCCCTCAATCAGGAAGATGACGTCGTTCTCGAGCTTCTGCGCCTGCATCAAGTCCGTCACAGCGAACAGGGCAGCGAGGATAGGGCCCTTGTTGTCGCTGACGCCTCGTCCATAGAGGAATCCGTTCGTTCCTCGTACGGTAAACGGATCGGCTGTCCATTTGCTCTTTTCGCTGTCAGCGGGCACCACGTCGTAATGTCCGTAGAAGAGAATTCGCTTTCGGTTGTCGGCAGACTCCTTCTTTCCAGAGAACTTGGCCAACACGACAGGATTGTGCGACTCGCCCGTGCTGAGCATCTCGACATATCCGCCCATGCGCTTGAACAGTGCACCGAGATATGTGGCGCCTTTGCGGCAGTCTTCGGCAAACTCGGGCCGGGATGAGACGGTCTTGTACGAGACAAATTCGTTGAGAGCAGACAGGAGGACATCATCTTCGGTCGGGCTCTTGGAGTCTGCTGTGGAGTCTGCTTCGTCCTTGATGTTCCACACGCAAATGTCGTTGTCGTTGGCCCCCGTGATGTAGTATTGGTTGCTTTTGTATGTCGAGCAAGCCGATGCCAGTATCTTGGTCTTTTCTTTGCCATTGTGTGCTTTCCATTTGTTGAGACACTGGTATTTCTGAGCCACATTCCTCGAGACATGCTGGTATCTTCCATAGTGCGCTGTGCTGAATTTCTGTAGAGAACAGTGTTAGTGGTAGTCACAAGTAGATATGGTAGCGAGGGAAAAACTTACACTGGCCCAGCCGTCGGCAGAGGTGGTCCAAAGGTAGCCCCAGCCCATCTGCAAGGACATGATGTCGTGGTTCTGCGCCTTGATCACCCTCAGCCTCTGAGCAGTGTCCAGGTCCCAGAGCTCAACAATGCCGCCCAGCTTCCCGGCATACAGAAAGGAGCCGTCCAGCGCCAGAGACAGCACCGACTCGGCATCATCAGTGCCGAGACACATAATCTCTCGCAGACCGTTGTGCTGAGAATTGTTCGAATCGCTTCTGCCCGGTTTGCCGATGCACCAAAGCTTGATCGTACCGTCTCCGCCGCCCGAGATGAGCACCTCTTCGTCCGGGTTTACCTCGACAGTAGGCCCCTTTGCGATGAGCATGCAGTAGACGTATCCGTAGTGGGCGAACTTGCGAACCGAGCCGCTGTCGATTTCCAGGACCGTGTCAGCTCGAGGAATCAGCCCCCATTTGTCTTCGCTTCGCCTCGGGGTGCTCGTTCCGCCAACGGCCTTGGAGTCGAAGAAGCGATGGCTCCTTCGGTCGGGGTGTCGCTGGGAGTCGGGCGTCGCCTTGATGCTCGGGTCACTCAGCGTCACCCACTGGATCGTCATGTTCTGCGCGCCAATGTATAGCGTGTCGTGTTGCTCGCTGTAAGCGGTCGAAAAGATGTCGCCGACGTCGTGATTGCCGTAGATCTCGAAGAGGCGGACCATGGTCCGAGGATCCCAAACGTTGATGATGGGATCGCAGGCGCTGGAGAAGAGGTAGTTGCCGTCGGGAGACAGCGAGAGCGACATGACGCTCCGCTTGTGCGCCTGGACCTGCTGGACCTGGTGGAAGGTGGACAGCGACCAGACGACAATCTCGCCATCCTGGGTGCCGGCGTAGATGGAGTCGTGCTGGGGGCTGACGGCGAGGGCGAGGACGCTGCTGCTGTGCTTGAGGCTGTGAAGCAGCTCCGGCTGGGTCTGTGAGCAGTCGGACGCTTCGAGCGCTGGTTCAACCGCCATGGCTGCCGGATCAGGCATGATGGAAGGCATCGCGGCTGTAATCAGAGGTTAGAAGAGGAACCGAGTTCGGTCTTGTAGGTCTGAGGCCGGGCTGGAATCGGCAATGCTGGCGGGGCACGCGAGTGGCTGCTGCAAATCATAGCATGGGAGGAGGACAGGAGGAGAAGAGAGAGGGAATTCCAATTGATGGCAGGACTGAGTCAACCGGCGATCTGATGCTCGACGCCCGGAAGAAAAGGAAGAGTGAGGCAGAGGACGGGAAGCGCGCGAGGATCGCAAGATGGTCGCTGCTGGAGAAGGGAAAAGAGTTTCTGCTATTGTTGCTGAGGTGAGGCCAATGACTCTGACAATGACGTGCTTAGCGCGGTATCGGCGCCATCTCAGCGAGGTTACAGCAGGGGGAGGTGCTGAGCCTCCCTGAAGCTGAACCATGTCAGGGGTCGAGGCAGCGTTTGATCCTCAGCCTTCCAATGTTCTTCTATTTCCATTTCGATATCATGGATTTGGATCCTTCTTCCTGCCTTCTCTCCATTGCCATTCGAGGCCTCATCTCGAGTCGTCTTGCAGCCCTTCGGAGCGTGATCGAAACAAGGGTGCTGCACAGTGTCTGACTGTGTCCGGACCTCACAACATGAACTCGTACTCACCTCTTGCTCCGGTTGATTCTCGACTCGACACTGTGTCTCTCCTTTGCCACTCCATGTCACTCACGCCAACATCGCGATGATGACCAGCCTGGAATGTGATGCGCAGGTTTCAGCTTGACTTACCGATCATCTTAACAGCCTGTTTCTTCTCCTCCTCCTTGGCCGCCATCTCGTCGCACTTGAGACATTCTGCCGCTTGCTGCATCTTCTCCATCTCGTCGGGCTCGTCTCTCTCCCTACACCAGGAGAGCTTGGATTTCGTACTGTTGTTGCACAAGCCGCAATGGTGGTCCGTTTTAATCGATTGGAAAAAAGGTAAGTCGAGGAGAGGCAGAGCAGAAGAAGCCCCGTGCTTCATCGAAGGATTATTTATCATCGACAGGCTGAGGGAGCGTCTTTGTTCATACTTCTGGTTCATCTGAACGTCTCGTAATCACACTACTGCTGCTTACCTTCACGTTCTTTCAAGTTGTCGTGAGATGACGCCTGGGTTGAACACTAAACTGAGGAGGATCGGTGGCTTTGTTCACCTTGATTACCTACCTTATTTCCTTATTTGTCTTGTTCGATACTTCGAGAACAAAGTAAAGATTCAACGCAAGGGGCACATCCAGGCAGAGCTGAACAGAGACAAAAGAAACGCTGTGTCTTGTTCCACTCGCAACCCCATTGGCCTTCTACCTCATGCGCATCGCAGTTTGATTCGCCAGAGTCTCTGAACTGCGAATGAGCTAGAGATGACTGCCAGACACGCGCGTCATTGCTATCTACACTCAGCATGAACACAGCGCGGGATCACGTTGAACTTCAACCCACACGATACTTACACGACTACCCCTTATCGACCTCACGAACTCAACTCGAAGCATCAAAGGCGGATCAAAGAGGCAACAATAGCCGCTCATGTGCGTTGAAAGGATTCCTACTTGTTCGTTAACTGTTTCCTCTTCGAACACTCCGCCACCAAGTCATCGTGCTAACAGAGTATCACACAGCTTCTAGTGACGAGAACATGTCTTGTGTTGCAGAATCATCGACCAAACAGAGCACGAGCAGTCGAGGAATTCTGCCATCGAGGCAACCATCATCGAGGTCCTGAGGCGATGAGAGGATCTTGAAGCTGCTCCAAGATCCAAGAAGAAGGAAGAATATGACACTCAAACGAGTTGACACCTTATAAGAAGCTCGCCCTTCGGTTGACAAGGAGAAGATGAAGAGCATGATAGTTTACACTCAACGACGAATCCCACAATTCGCACCATTCAACGACTTCCGTGAATAGATATGCATACCCATCTCCTCCTTCTTGGCCTTCTCGGCCTTGCAAGTCTTGCCACGGCAGACAACTACTTCACCATCGCCCTCCACGCACCCAATAATGTCTTGCTCCACGGCAAAATCATCAACGCTCGGGACAAATCCTTCATTGCTGGAGCCTTGATGCCCAGCACTCGCTGCGGCATTAACGATGCCGCGCAGTGCCCGGCTGGCGTCGTCACCCTCGTCACGCGCGACATGTCCTTTCTTGCCGTGGGTTCCAATCCCACTGTGATATTCCAAACTTTTCTTCTCCAGAACGGCTCAGAGAACGCAATACTGACCAGTTACGTGTCTTTGCGCCCAGTCTGCGGCTCCTGGCGGCCAGTTTATCTACGTCACCACAGACGGCTCCATCAGCTATCCTTATGCTCACTCGTCGCTGCGCCCTCCTGGCGCCCAAATCGGCGGCTTCTACGCGCTTCCCGTCACTTTTGACCACGGCGTGACCGTGAATGTGCTCAACTGGCGGTCTAGAGACGGGACGAGTGGGCTGTGGGCGTGTGCCGTGGCCCCTGGGGCTCCCATTGCTTATCAGGCGGTGCTCAAAGCGTCGACTGCGCAATTCAACGGCTCGGGATGCCTTGCTGTTGACGGCATCCTCACTCAGCCAGCGGGGAGTTCCTTTGGGGCCTGGGAGTATACTTGAGAGGCTTATCCTTGAAGGGAAATGCCATGCCACGTTTGAAAGGAAGCACATTTGCCCACTTTGTAGTCTATGCGTGTTGGCTTTGAGTGCCGGCTGCCGTGCATGCGCATGCAGTCATGCCGTTTCATTCATGAACCAACACGTTGTCTTGTTGCTTTGGGAGTTCACATGTATTCAAACAAGAGATTTTTTTCACCGGTTGCTACCTATTTTTTAATCCCTTGCATACAGTCCCTGCAAATGACGTCTTTTTTATCATTGCAACCTGTCAATCCATCTGTGCTCGTATCTCACGCCTGGGGTAAACGCAAAGTGGTCCCAAGAAGGCACTCGATGTGACGAGAAATGGTGATCTGGATTTACCTGATTGGGCAGCCCATTTGACCACGCGACTCGAGCAAGCGCTACGGAAAATTTTATATCACATTCACAGATCCAATAACTCGGTTTTGCTGCCCAAGCGACAAGGTATTATGGGACCAGTCACAGACTCAGTTACCGATATCTCGGGTTTGGGCGAAGGTAAGCTGACAGTCGACCCTTGCATGCGGCGGAGTTTTACGACGTGGAACTGCATCAAGCTGAGCTGTAAGGGACAGCTACGTCAACCTCGTCCATGCTCAAGCGAAGTATAAGAAGTATATAAGTGAATATGTTCAAACATGGAATTGAGAGCCAAGCCTGTGTCTATCGCACAAGAGAGAGTTGTTCACTCAGAGGCACTTTCACAATCAAGAACAATCCGAATCTCAGCACGAAATGGGTTCTTGCAACTCCATCCCACTTCGACGCCAGCGTCAACCTTCCCATCCCAAAAGTGAAGATGGCCCTTCTAAACCAACCTCTCGTGGCTTGAGACACCGTTTCAAACTTCTGAGACACCGTGTCAAGCCTTCTCCTACATCCCCCCAGCTGGATAAAAGCTCCCAGGAGTTGATATACCGACTTCTCGACGAGCTCGACTCAGACACCTGGAAGCCTCTTCCCACCGAAGATGAAAAATCCCCTCAGCCAAGCGACAGAGCAGTCCGAATCTACGTCAGCCAGATGCGAAATGGCCTCTCAGCTCTCCTGGGACACGGCCCCATCTCAGGAAACCAAAGCTGGTCTGATGCCATGGCATATGCCCGTGCCGTGATACAAGATCCCAAAGACACTGTTGAACGCTCAAAAGCAACCTGGACAAGATCATGCTCGTCCATCCAGCGAGAGCTCATGACACGGTTCGGCCCAGCCACGATATCAACAGCCATCCAAGGCTGCCGTCAGCTAGTAGACGACCACTACCACGGAAAGCGACTCGCCGTCTCACACGTCGACAAGAAGACGAGTTTCCGGGAGCACTTTCCCATGTCGAAGCCCAGTATCTCGCATTATCCTGCCAGCAGCCCTCTCGCAATTGGGGCCTACGAATGTGCTTTTCTGTCCTGCTCTTTGATATCATCAGCATGGCTATCTCCTGAAGAAGCGATGAAATTCGCGTCCATATGCCACTTGTCGGTATGTGACGACTACTACGGCTTCACTGGCACAGAAACAGAGGTGCGAGTCCGGCTGGTAGCCCTGGCAATAGGCGCTGCGTTCGAATTCGGCGACGAAGCTGTCGAGGTTCTGATGGACGGCACTGCACTGCAAGCTGTGGGGTCAAGCAAGGAAGTTTCTCTACGGGCTGCCATGGCTTGGAGGGCAGTCAATGGTGCGGCTACTGCATACAACGGACATGTTCTCGCGAATGACTCTCTTGAAGACGGTCTCGTTTCGCCACAAGTCATCATGGCCATCCACGACATGTTCGACTGGAGGAGCGACCTTGCAGCGGGAAATCACGAGAACGGATTCTCGGTTGCATATGGACTTGGACTCGATGATCCGTTTCACGACTACTTGGAAGAGATCCTGCTTCTTGCCTCGTCACATCCGAAGTCGGGGGCCTACGCAATCTCTGCCATAACCCTAGCAAGCTTCACAGCCTGTCGCTACTCGTCCTACAAATACTTTGCCGTAGACGTGGATCTTCCAGCCCCGTGTCCACGATGCATCAAACTTGTCAGAAATCTGACAGAAGAGGCAGGCTTTTCATGGGAGCCAAAGACACCTCCGGGTAATCTCGAGGACGGAGAGCGTGTACGAAAGCTTTGCCAGTCGTGGGCAGACAGGTACGAAGATCATGGTTTGATACAAGAGGGACTGAGTTGGTTTCAAAGTCTCATCGAGACAGGCAGGATACACGTGTTGGATGCACTGGTTAAAATTCCCGCGGTGGATGAGGACGCAGAGTGGGCTTGAGGCAGAAAAGTTGCCTACGTAGGCAGATGTTTTCTTGAACTAACTAAATTGGCAACCATGCCGTATCCCATTGTCCCTGTGATCCCTAGTAAAACGCAAAAGAAACAGAAAGCCGTGACGGACGGTCATTGCAGGTCAGCGTAGGCGTTGGAGAGCCTTTACTCCGAGGCCGCTTCCTCGTCCTCGTCGTCCTCCACAAAATCCTCCATATTGCGGTGGCTATACTTCTAATACAGCTGACACACCGCCATAACAGTGCGTTCAGGGAAGTAGTTGGCCTATAATTGACTTTGTTAGACACCTGGAGCCTTTTCCGAAGGAGTATGAGGGCGATGGAAGATTATACCTGAATATCCGCGTAGGACATGTTCTCATCCCGATGGAGGGTCAGGACTCGGCGGATATCAGCAAGTCGCCAGCGGAGTCGTGGCTCACGACGGGTGCGCTATGAGAGGTCAGTGTCTCGTTGCCAGTCAAGTATCAAGGCTCTACTTGCCTGGGTCGAGCTGCCCGAGGCAGTCGGGGGACGGGAATCGGGGAGAGGGGTTCTTGCCTTTTCCAAGGCCGCAATCTGCCAAGGCTGAAGGGTTCCCTCAGTGGGAGCCGGAGTGGCATCAAAGGAAGTCCCTTGAAGGGAAATCGCCGCGGCGGAAGTCGCCTGAGCGGGAGGTGCCTGAGCGGGAGGTGCCTGAGCGGGAGGTGCCTGAGCGGGAGTCACCTGGGCGGGAGACTCCAAGGCGAGATTCTCCAGGGCGGTGGTGACTCCCTGAGTGGGATGCTCCTGGGCAGCATGCTCCTGAGCAGGGTTGTCACCGTTGGCGTTGGTGACGTTGGTTTGGGCCGGAAGCGGACCACTCGGTCCTTCGACCTCCTTGCCCTTTCCTTTGTCGGGTTTGTTGGTCATATTGCAAGACCCAGAGAGGATGAAGAAGTAGTTGAAAGGTATGTGTAGGGAAAAGCTTCTGTGGAAAGAGGGTGTACCAGGGAAGTGGTTTTACTGTAAAGGATCAGAAAACCAGAGATGGAAGAGGAAGAAGAAAGGTTGTGGGCCAGAATTTTCATACCACAATAAATAGTTTTCGAAAGTGAGCAGCTGGTGAATCAACTGGCAGGACTGCACGCGTCTGGCAGTCGTCAGGGTGGGCTGGTGCGTTTGGAAGCGAGCCTTTCGAAATGTTCTAGGGCTTTCCCCTTGGAGTCTACAATGGTACAGGGGAAAGAATGATCCGACAGTAATCTACGGACAATGCATATAATAGTTCCGTCTTGAGTTGAGAAGCTCGAGTGAATGGTGTTGAACATTGTGATGTTGGAAAACGGTGTGTTCAGGGGGCGGAGACGGTGCAGAGGAGGCCCTGGACACTCCTCTATAGTGATCAGGAAAGACGTTGAATTACGCTCGTAACTGCATAAGTTAACTGAACTGGGCTTGTTTATCTGATTTACTTCTCAAAGGAAGCTGAAGGCGTTGGTTGTAACTTCAAGAGTAGATGGAAGAACACGGGCACATCGCAAGACACTCACAGCCTGGCGGCACGGGATGATATGCCCACCCCGCTCTCCGTTCACTATCCAACAACAATGTACTCCCATCTCCTCTCACTGGTTCTCCAAATACGATTCCAACCATTCTTTTTGTACAAGCTTCGATAAAGAGTGTAATAACCATGAGTGCATCCGTGATCCTCGCACCAGACCGCCCAGCGCCAGACTCAACCACTCGCAAAGCCATTTTCCTCGCGGGAACAACCAGCCCTACAGGAGAACCCGACTGGAGACAGACGCTAACAGAGGCACTCTCGAACTTGCCCATCACGATATACAATCCCAAGAGAGACGACTGGGACTCTACCTGGAGAGAAGACTTTTCAGATGATCGATGGGCCGAACAAGTGCAGTGGGAACTCGAGATGCAGGACAAAGCAGACATCGTTGTCGTCTTCTTTCACGGAGTCAGTCCTGCGCCGATTAGTTTGCTGGAGTTGGGCCTTTGTGTTCGGTCTGGGAGGGCTATAGTGTGTGCTCTGGAGGGTTATTCGAAGAGAGGGAACGTGGAGGCTGTTTGCCGGCGGTACGGGGCCAGGCTGGTGATATCGGAGGATGAGTTGAGGGATGCTGTAATTGAGAGACTGAGTCAACTGCTGCTTGATGCTTGACGTGTCCACTGCATGGATCCGTCAAGGCCAGGAGAGATGATGCAGTGATATAAGGTACCTTATGTACCTGATGCACTTTCAGCGATGAGATTTTCTGAGAATTCTTTGGTTCGACAGTGCTCATCTCGTAGTGAGCCCTGCGCAGAAGTAACTCGATCATGGTTATTTTGAACCCCTCTGCCTGCATCAAAGATCCTTATCGAAGATATGCCGCGCCCCAACATGTGCTTTTCCGTCTTTCTCCTCTATGGCCCTCTGCGTCATCGTCACCTTCTGTCTGAGCCCTCCTTTGATTACAATTTGTGCACATTGCTTGCAAGCCTGAGATGGATGAAGGGATCTGAGGCAACAAGGTTCGAAGTGCTAATTAAGCCTGTGATGAAGGCTTAAAACCTAAAAGTTGACTCTCCTAGACTGCAGGGATATCGTGCAATATCAAAGTTAACTTTCGCTAGGCCTACCAGCCCCAGAGACAAATTGAAGCCATCGCGAGTCTGATTAGGGTAGGCGGCGTCCACTAATCGTTTAAAGACTTTGCACCGCTACCGCACGAATAACGACCTCTATGCCTTGCTCAACAACCATAAAGATAGATATCAAACACCCGTACTGTGATGAAACCAAAGGGCACAATATTCAAGAATGCGTTAAGATCTCGCCAAGTTGCAGGTCAATACACAAAGAGATTGCTGAAGCTCTCGTTGCCATGGCAAGCCACTGCCACACAGCAGCCTCACTGCGCCACTGGTTCCTCTTTAAGAGGTGCAGGAGCGACCGGCAGCTGGGTCCCACACCCCACATGCGCTCTTGTGGCGGGGTTTTTGGGGCAAGTGCGATGCAAGGCAAGAGGTATCGACTTTTGACTTTTTGGCTTTAAGCGCCTCCAGTCGCATCTGATCCATTTGTCTCTCTCAATAAATAGAGGCCCTCAGCCTTGTTTGTCCCCTCCTTTGTCTTTCCCATCTCTCTCTGCTATACCTCACCACTTTGCTCGAATATCGCTCTAACGTTATTATCAATATCTTGCTGAACGTCTCTCGCTTTTTGCTATACAAATCTTGCTACATCTCTACTTAATAATACGACGCAATGGAGGACCAGTTCGGAGGCCGCACAGACGACGATCTGTTCTACGACGACTTCGAGCCCGTCGAGTCTGAGCCTGTCCTGATACAGGAAGAGCAGCACTACTACCAGCCCGAGCCCGTTGCTTCGCCTGCGCCAGCTCCAGTACCAGCTGCTCCTCCAGCTCCAGTACCAGCTGCTCCTCCAGCTCCGGCTCCTGCGCAGCAACCCTCTCCACAGCCTGTGGCAACACCTCAACAAAGCCAAACTCCCCCGTCCTCGAAAGCGTCGCCCGCACCCGCTGCCAAGAACAAGAAACCGCTGCGACCTGCCGGAGGTCTCTCATCCTCCCGCTTCGCCGACAAGCCTGCACAGAAGCCGGCGCCTGCTCCCGCTCCCGCAAAGGCGGCTACCCAGGCCCCGAAGCCAGCTCCTGCACCAGCTGCTGCCAATGGGGCTACCGGCCAGGCTCCCGAGGAGGCGCCTCCGCAATCTCCCGGTCCTCCTCCCAACGCGACCACCGGCCCTAGAGAGAAGCCTCGACGCTCGTCACCATCACAAAATACTGCTGCCAACGCCGAGGTGCGCTCCAAGTCGGGCTCCAACCCGCGCCATAAGCTTACCGAGGAGGAACTCGCTGCTAAGATGGAGAAGATGAAGCTTCTGTCAGCAGAAAAGGCGCGCAAGTTTGAAATGGCAGAGCAAGACGAGAAGCAGCACGCAGAGGCATACGCGCGAGGCATGGAGGAGGCGCGCAAGAGGAGAGCCGAGGAAGCAGAGAGGCGCAAGCGCGGTGAGGAGGAGAGACGCAAGCTGGAGGACGAGCGAGCAAAGAACAGGGAGCGCAAGCTCAAGGCCATGAACATCAAGGACGGCAGCTGGGACGAAGGCAAGGAAGCCCTGGCTGAAGAAGAAGCCAGACGAGGCTTCCGCGGTGCAAACGGAGGCATCAGAGGGGCAAAGAGCCGTGGTGGCCTAGGCGGAAGTCGGTTTGCCGAAGCACCAGATGTCGACCGTTTCTTGGACGATCGTCACCGCGGCAGAGGGCGAGGAGACCGGGGCAGAGGCGGCAACGGCAGCGCCAACGGCAACGGCAGAGGTCGCGGCCGAGGTCGCGGCTCATACGATGGGCCTGTCGGCGAATCCCGCCCAGCGAAACAGCAGATCCCTGCCGCCGATGACTTTCCTTCTCTGCCTTCTGATAACGCTCAGGCGAAGGCAGCTCTGGAGCAGAACGCCAATACCCAGGCAAAGCCTACCATGGCACAAGCAGCGGCAGCTGCGGCCAAGGCAAAGTCTGCCGAAGCCCAGGCAAAGCCTTCTATGGCACAGGCAGCAGCAGCGGCGGCGCCCCCTCCCCTTCCCCTGCCTCTTGTCGTGACAGGCGGCAAGTGGGACGACGAAATGGAGGCCCTCGACGCTTTGAACCAAGCTCAGGCTCAGGCCAAGGCCGAAGCCAAGTCATAGTATGGACGCGAGGTTCTCGGTGGAAATGGAATTGTTACCGGTGGGGAAAAGGGTGACGGTTTATCTGGTTTACTTTGTGGTGGCTTTTCGTCCAAGTATTGGCTTGAACTGCTTGGTTTGGGTTGCGGTACTGAGTGAGAGTTGGATATACGACGACATGACTGGTTTGGAAAATGGGGAACTGCGACAAAAAAACGAGAGAATGTGTTTGTTTTTGGATCAAGAGATATCACGAGGTCTGTTGGTTATTGATATGATCAGTCCGGGTTAGTTTCACGAGTTTTCGCTACTCGCAGCGTAATATACCTCTAGAAGCGTCTCTGCATCGCCCTTGATGGCACCACATGATAAGCAGCTTGAAAGTGTAAAGGGGGTATACAACTCCGTATTGCGAATCCTATATACGTCTTTTGGTTCCAAGAAATCGATAAGAAACAAACCACACACACGAAGATGCCCTGATTACCGTCCATGTAAACAACGTTCCCCGACGCCGAGCTGCAAATGCAATGCAAAAGAAATCAAGTCTCCCAAAACGCGCCTACCACCCACCGCGATAACCCCTTCCCCTGCCGCTCCTATATCCCCCGGGGCCCCTCGGTCCTCTCGGCCCTCCACCAGGACCATCGTCGTCCAGCGCGGGTCTTGACCGGCCCTTCATCTCCTTCGGGAACGCGTCATACGTCTTCCTCATCTGCGCGTATCCCAAATGCATCTTTCCGTAAAAGTGATCCGCCAACCGCCGGTCGTTGTCCAGCCTGCTAAGATAGGCGCCGCAGACGTCGCAGACCTGCAGCTTCTGGTGGCCCGAGGGGCCGGACGTGTCGGAGAGGGCCTTGAGCTCCTTTTCGCGCTCGGCTTTCTGCTGGCCGGCCTGGCGGACGCGGAAGAGCTCGTCCATGGCGCGGGAGACTTCGCCCATGGAGCCGAGGATTTCGACTTCGAGGAGGCCGTTGTTGATGGAAGCCGTGAGGTCTGATATGGTTTTGAGCTGCGTTCGACCAAGGTTAGCTTCACATGTTCGAGAACCTGAAAGATTGAGTAAAACCAAGCGCAGCTCACCAATGCATTCGTCTGCCGAATCTCGTCGGGCGTCTTCTCCAGCCTCCTCTGCGCCGCATCGATCCGCCGGTTGCATTCGTCAATGTACTTTTGCAGGTCGCGCATGTAGTCGTACTCGAAGCCGTACTTGTGCTTCTCGCGCTCCGACAGCGCCTCGTACTCGGCCTTGAGGCCCTCGGCGTGCACCTTGGGGCAGGGCCCAATGTCCTGCTTGGTGTTTGTGAAGAGGTCGTGCGGACACGTGCCGACGATGTAGGAGCGGCAGACCTTGGGGTCGTTGAGCGAGAGCTGGGCGGCGCGGGAGGACGACGACGCGCCCATGAGCTGCTCGAGGAGCTTTCTCTGTTCGGCGGCCATGGCGCTGCGGATTGGGGGTTTGTTGAGGAGAGGTGGTAGAGGGAGAGATGGGAGTGTTGTAGAGAGGATGGGAGGATATTCTGGCTGTAATTTTTTGGGATTGAAGATGAGATGACGGATTGAAACTGTGGCTGGTGCCTTTGCATCCGCTAACGACGTGCAGCTGTGGGGGACGTTCCAAGCCTAAAGCCGGTGCTGGCCAGTGGAGGAAAGGTGAGCGACGCCGCCAATCCCGCTCAAACTGTGGCGCACTGCTCACTCAACTGTGGCTGGTTGTCGGTACGTACCGAATGACAAGGGCCTCGTCCAGCTCCAATCTGGCAATATCACGACCTCTATCGACCAGAGATGTGAATCTCGCCCGAATCGCGCCGGCGACCCTCACTCTCTTTTCTCTCCTTTTCTTGTTCTTCACAATGCGCAGCCTCTTGTCCTTACTGCTGTTGATCGTCCCCAGCGTCCTGGTGTCTGCCGCCGACTACCATGAGCAGCTGAACCTCCGGCCTCTGCCCTTGTCCGCGCTCCTCGCGAGCTTCAACTTCCGAGCCAACACGTCCCTTGCCGACTTCGAGGCGCACAACTTTCGACTCTTTCCGCGGTCGCTGGGCCAGATCCTACAATATGCGGGCACGCGAGAGCTTCATCTGAGATTCACGCTGGGACGATGGGATGCAGAGAGCTGGGGAACCCGGCCCTGGGACGGGACGAGGGAGGGCGGCACCGGAGTGGAATTATGGGCGTGGCTGGACGCTGAGACGGACGAAGAGGCGGACGAGAAGTGGTTGACGCTGACCAATGCGCTATCTGGGCTGTTTTGTGCCAGTCTCAACTTCATCGACGGGACCAGGACGATCCGACCTGTTTTGTCATTCCAGCCTGAGGGTGACCATCCGAACTCGACGTTGCAGAGCACGAGGCTGTTGCATGGAGTGCTACCCCACGAGGTGGTCTGCACGGAAAATTTGACGCCATTCTTGAAGATGCTGCCGTGCAAGGGCAAGGCTGGAATCGCGAGCCTGCTGGATGGACACAAGCTGTTTGATGCGTCGTTCCAGAGCATGGCCATTGACGTGCGGCCCATCTGCCCCTCGGAGGGGGAGTGTGTTTTGCAGCTTGAACAGACGGTTGACATGGTGTTGGACGTTGATCGGTCCAAACGGCCTCATGGTATGAATTGCGTGGCTCTACTCAAGGCGTACCATCGCTAACACGGCTTCTAGATAACCCTATCCCAAGGCCTCCTCCAGGCGATGATTTGATCTGCGATACTACCAAGCCCTACCACGCGCCAGGCGATTCTTGCTACCCAGTGGACCATCTCCGCGGCCAAGACTGGACGCTGTCGCAGATATTTGGGCGAACAATGAAAGGCACCTGTCCCCTGACCGATGCCGAAGTCCCCCCAGTCTGTGTTCACATCCCACCCACTCGCGACATCTTTGCTTCAGAAGGTGCCCATGAAATCAATCATTCCAACAATGATTCGTTGCGATGCTATCAGGTCGAGCAAGAGAAGGAATTCACCCTCATGCTGACCAAGAGCGAGTCTCCTGCTGATGGAGAGGTCCCCCCTGTTAGCATTGTCAAGCCGGAAACGCCTGTGCTGTATGCCGAACGAAGCTTCACCGGGCACGGACAGGAACACGGCGGTGTGCAGGCCATCCTGACGAACCCAGGCGACGACCCGGTTGAGTTTGTGTATATGGAGTCTCTGCCGTGGTTCATGCGCGTCTACCTGCACACGCTCTCTGCCCGCATCTCGGCGTCCTCATCCAACGTCAACACATCGTCTGCCGACATCATCAAGGAAATTTACTACCGTCCGGCTCTTGATCGCGCTCGCGGCACGCAGCTGGAGCTCCTCGTTAGCATTCCCCCTCACTGCACCGTCTTCCTCACCTACGACTTTGAAAAGTCCATCCTGCGGTACACTGAATATCCACCCGACGCAAACCGTGGCTTCGACGTGGCTGCTGCGGTTATTACGACCCTGGAGCCCAAGGCCATGAACATCCGCACCACCAGCTTGCTGCTCTACCTGCCCACGCCCGACTTTAGCATGCCGTACAATGTCATCATTTTCACATCAACAACGATTGCGCTTGCATTCGGAGGCCTTTACAACATCCTCGTCAGGCGCATGGTTGGCGCGAACGAGGCCCCCCGAGCAGCCTTCAAGGACAAGATAGCTGGCTTCATCGAGAAGCTGAAGAAGAAGAAGAGGGCGGCAGTAGTAGCTGCGGCGGCGTCTACGGGAGGAAGTGCAAAGCCTGTGGCGGCAAATACAGAAGCGAAGTGATTTCTTTCTGTTTTTACTTGTTGTTAGAAATTGCATACAAAAGGGATAAATAAAGAACATTTAGACTGGGTTCTTGCACTTGTTTGACATGATGGAACAGCGACACAGAGGAACTATGGGTTTCTTTCAACTTCATTTTACTGTTTTGGTTTGGAACGGTAGGAGGCTACCTATCTGCTTACACGTGCGAAGGGAACAAAAGACGAATCGTCACCACTGATATCCAACTTCGAGCAGATCTCATCGTGTTTCTCGCATCCGCTGTCACTTCTCTCCCCAATCCTCACTTATCCAGAGCTGATTCCCGTCATGGAGAACATCTAGCAGACGCCAGAGGGGATGGTGAAGCTCTCCGTGCGGGAAGAAGAAGAGTATCGAGCACCAGATCCCAGACCACGCTTAGCAAAAGCAGTCCACAGCTCGCACACGTTCTCGCCACCTGTCAGAGCCCGATCGGCATCGATGATGGCATCGCGCGCGGAGACGAAAGTCGGCGAGCAGGGCTGCAGGGCGAGGCCGTTGAGGACGAGCTTGAGGGCGAGGAACTTGCCGTCGGTGGGCACGCCCTGGCTGTCAAACGTGGGGAAGTCGGCGTCGTTCTTGCCGTGCTTGTCGATGAGGGCCCAGAGGACCTCGTAGAGGATGCTGGCCCAGGTGGTGCCCGAGGAGTGGACCTCGAACTGGGAGTTGACCGACTTGTAGGTCAGCGGGTTGGTGGTGAGGCTGGTCGAGTACGGGTACTGGCGGATGCCGGCCGGGTTGTTGTCGGCCCAGGCGCCGATGGGGTAGTCGGTCGAGTGGGTGTCGCCGGGCTTGAGGCGGATGGCCGTGGCGTAGAAGTCGCCCCAGCCCTCGCCCATGCCGCCGGCCTCGACGCCGGACAGGCAGCCGGAGTTGGCGGGGCCGCCGGTGAGACGGGTGGACACTGTTGGTGTGAGGGTCAGTCATGGAGAGAAAGGGGAAGCCAGGTAAAGTGGGAAAAGGGAGAGAGAAAGCGGCAACAATCAAGGGGGTATCAAAGACTTACATCCGTGAGTAAATTCGTGAATGACAATGCCCTCCTCCAGGGATCCGTCACGGCGAGGCGTCGACACGGTCCAGATGTACATCCTCATGCGGCCGTTTTGGCCGTCGACAGGGGTGGCAAAGTTGGCATTGTTGGTGCCGGAGCCGTCCTGGGCGTTGAGGATGACAAAGTCGTTGCCCAGGCCTCCCTTGCCGTTGTTGTTGGCCTGGAAGTTGCCCGCCGCCTCGGTGAAGCCGAGGATGTACAGCAGGTCGTGGTACTTGTTGGCG